ACCAGAGAACCAAACATGGGAAAGCAACAAGCTGTGTTTTATGCACACCTTGAGAAACGCTGACAGCAGTGGCAGGGGTGGGGGAGAGCAGGTACCGAGAGAACAGGCAGCAGCCCCCAGCAGAGCTGAGGACGAGGCCAGGACAACACCAGTTTGGTTTGAAGGGAGCAGCCAGCCCAGGGCAGAGGCTTTGGAGTGGACCTGGAGAGAAGTGTTACAAGGCAGAAAAACATGTCCAGCTGTGCAGGGAAACTGCCCTTTGCTTTGTAGGTTTTAATGTGGACAAACTCCCTGCGGCACATGGGGATTTATGGAAACTAAATATGAAGCCCAAGTCCCACTGACTGTCATTTTGTCTCATGTCCCCACAGAACAAAGACTTCATCTTTTACCTCCCTTCTCTCTCTCTGCAGGAATCCAGGCAGCTGACCTAATAGGAAGATTCACCTGAGAAAGGTACAAAACAGCCTGGGGAAAAGCCTTCATTTCACCAGCAGGTTCATTCACAGAGATCACAACACAGCACATAAGGGGGCCATTGTTTCTGGAATAAAATCTCCATTTGAGCTCTCTTCTTTGGCCATGATCAATGGGAGGGAATTAAAGTCTCATCCTGGGAAAAAAAACATCTTGCTAACACTGTGTTGAAAGATCAGGTAATGGAGATGCAGAGCAAATGTGGGCACCCACAGCAACCCTTGGTGAGCTTGAGAATGCCGGAGGTAAAAGGCCCTGGTGAAAAAAGCTCCCCAAACACAGGCACAGCCCTTATCGTATCCCCTGAGAGACAAGCAAGCCAAGGGCTATGATTCCCAACAGGAGATGCTGGTGTTTCACAGTACTTGGATCCAGATTTCAGCTCCCCACAGCTCCTCCCAGCACAGAGGCATTTAAATTCCCTGGGTGCTTACACAGCTGCCTGTTCAGCCTCTGCATGTTCTGTGCCATGGACACACAGAGCCAACCCCAGTAACTCTGAGCTGTTCTGCACCTCTGTCCTACCCACCCCTGGGTATTCTCAGAACACCTCCCACCCGTCCTCCAGGCACCTTCCCACCTCCAACAGGCACGTCAGTGCAAACCCACTGCTCTCACCCCTCAGTGACTATGAGCAAGAGCATTTTCCACCACCTGCCAAAGGATGGATTTCCACCCTCCAAAGATCATCAGACAGAGAACCGACCCTATTTCCATCACAGCCATAGCACCATAATGCCCACCTTCCTCTTCCTCTCTGTTTTAGTCTGATGCTTTGGAACAACAAGAAGAAAGGACTGTTTAAACTATTAGTTACAGATTCAAAAAGCAATGTCTGCCGTTTGGGCAGCTGAGTCTGGAGCATCCCTGTCAGGCTCTGGGCAGACACACATCACACTTGCCTTCCCCCAGGCCCACATCTCACTTTGATTTTCCAAGTACCAGCAGACAGATTCAAAGCGATCTGCTGCCCTCTCCCGAGCAAGCCCCGGTGACAATCAGCACGGCAGGGGCTCTGCAGGCAGCCTGTCCTCTGCTGAGCACAGCTGTGCCCCTGCAAAGGGAACGGCACTGATGGGGCACCACACAGCTGTGCCAGGCAGATTAGAAACGATCATCAGCTGCTACAGAGAGCAAAGGAGATCAGCTGCACAGCCTGAACCATCAGGTATCCACAGAGGGCACTCCTGGCATTTTGGTCTCATAACTGTCAGGTTAATGCTCCTCTGTGGAAACACAAGGAAATACCTCCCAGCATATTCTGTCCTCCGTAGTCAAACATTTCAGAGCAGAAGCAGACCATGAGACATATAAAAAAACAGAAAAAAAAAATTACTTGCAGATTTAAGAGAGTGATTTAAGGTGGGTTTTTTGGACTAAACCCACTTAAATCTTTTATGTCCACCAGCAGTGCTCTATCCTGTCCTTCCAGGGAGTACAGAGCTTTATCTAGACACTCAGTATGTACATACATACCATCTTCAGAATAAACCTTAACACTGCAACCTGCTGCTTTCGAGGCACTTCTCCAAGACAACTAATCATTTGCAGAAATCTGTTAAATTAGACTGTGGTCTCTGTTAAAGCCCTCCAAAACCAGGCCTATGAGCCTGAGCCTCTGTTTTTATACGGAAATATACAAAAAACCAATGTAAAAGTCACTTCTAAAAATTCCTAAAATAGTTGTTCTCTCATGTACCCCAGGACAGACAAGATGTCCCATGCTGTGGAATCAACACTGCTTTTCTTGGCACTCTCTCTGGGATGCTCTGCAGTGGATGATAACAAGTTGTTCTCTACGTGTACAAATGTGATTATTTTCACCACACGCACGAGGGTGCAGCACCTGTGAAAGTGTATATAAAACAACAGGGGTGGGTTCCCAGGTTCACATGGACCCAGCAATCTGTAAGCAAGCACCTGCAGCAATCCTGAAGCAAAACAGAACCACTGTCACCACATGGTACAGGGACTGACAAACAGGTTCTCAGTTGGATTATGGGCTAAAATTCTCTAGGCTCCAATATCAGCTTGCTTTGCTTTCAAGCCTTCTTTTACTCTGCAAAACATACAGAAATTACCATGGAGATAACTGAGAAACAAGGTATTTGGGAGAAGAAAGAATCAGCGTGCCTTTCCCAATGTCACCTACCAACCATTGGGTCCTTCACTTAGGAAGTGCTGACCTGCTTTTTAGACACCTCACGTTTGGAGTTCTGCATCATGAAGGCTACAAACACTTTGGTCTGGTCTCTCAGGGCTTTTTAACCTGGTAACTCTGAGAGAAAGGAGCTGCTTGGAAGCATCTGAACCCTTGGCAGTGCAGCAGCCTGTCCAGCAGGCATGGCAGCCCAATCCTGCACACCCAGGGGCTGGATTGGCCTCGATACTGGAAAGTTATTTCCAAAGCCAGCTTAATAGCTTGCATTTATCTTTGTCATATTTCACTTCTACTTCCCCTCTGAAGCCTCTGTGCAGCCTTGGACAGTCCCTCCCTTCAGAAAGAAAACCGGTTCTCCCTTTAGAGGCATCCCAGCAGATCCTCCACTGGCCAGCAGAGCAGGAAAGCATCTGTGACATGCAGCCTCCTGAGCCAGGAGAAGCCAAGCCATGCAGGCTCTAGATTTATGGATTAGACACGCTGCCATGGCACACAAATCACTCTGTGCTCAGTGCAATTCATTAGCACGTTGCTGTGGCTGGTCGCATTCCCCACATTTTGGCAAACGATGCCAAAAAGGCTTTTTACCTTTCACGTGCCAAGACTGAACAACGCAGAGTCAGGACCCTTTCCTGCCTCCTCCCCGGGGGAGTGAAACCCAAGTCAGCAGTTGTTGTGTCTGTGGGCAAACCGAGCCCTGAGGGTTCTCCAGCACCCCAGGGCAGTGCTGGGGGCTGAGCAGCCACAGGCTGGGATTGTGTCTGCTCCCAGCCCAGCCTGTCCCAGCAACCCAACCTGTGCTGGTGGCACTGCCAGTACTGCTCACAGCCACCAACAACACCCTCCAACCCGGGGAAACCCAGCTGAAAACCTGCAGGCAAGCCCGGGGAATCACTCTGCCACACCAGCAAAGGGAAAGAAAAGGCCTTTTACCTGCCTTCCATGTGTCAGTAAAGAACTTCAACAACAGGCATAAACCACTAAAATAACAGCATAATTGACCTAAAGGAATAAGGAGGAAGGGGTGAAAGGAAGACGGGTTTTGCTACTTCCTTACACTGCTGTACCTTGATTCTGGGAAAAGGACAATGGGGGAGGAACAAGCCAGAAAACTGGCTTTCCATTCCTATGGAAAGGTTGTTCCTCGGGGAGGGAAAAATAATTAAAAAAACCCAAACAACAGTACTTAAAAATCAGGGATTTGAGAGTGCTGGGGGCCTCATGGAGCAGCAACGTGGACCTCTCCACAGAGCAGGCTCTTGGTGGAGCCGTGTCCCCCTCAGAGATCACGGTCCTGGGGACACTGGGGGGGATACGGATATGTTGTTAAAGTCCAGCAAGGTGCAAACCTCAGAAGAAAACACCCATTTTCTTGAGTGCCAGTGCTACACTCAGGCCAACACTGCAGGGATCAGCGCTGGAGGGACACGGGCAGAGCAAGGACACGGCAGGGAGAGACCCCCGAGGCGGAGCCCCGTGTCACTCACCTCAGCCTGGGGAAGGTCCCCTTCAGCCTCCGACACCGCCGCCGGGGCCGGGCCGCACCCTTACAGGGGCTCCGTCCGTCCGTCCGTCCGTCCGTCCGTCCCTGAGGGGCCGCACCTTCCCAGGGGCTCCGCCCCGAGCCCTGCGGCCTTTGGCTGCAGCCCCTGGGGCGGGTGGGTTCGCGCAGGCCCCGAGCCCCGCTGGAGCCTGAGGCACAGACACCACAGGGCTCCCTTCGACCTCAGACAGCCCCGGAGGGGCTCCTGCGGCTCCCTCGCCCCTCATGGCCCCTCACGGCCCCTCACGGCCCCTCACAACCCCTCGCGCCCTCACGGCCCCTCACAACCCCTCGCGCCCTCACGGCCCCTCACAACCCCTCGAGCCCTCACGGCCTCGTGCCGCAGGCGCGGCCGGGCGGGGCCGGACGGGGCCGCGCGGGCCCTTCCGGAGCGTGAGGGGGCCGCGGCTGCTCCGTCACTGCCCCGTGTCCCGTCACTGTCCCCAGCCCCGGTGCCCCCGGCCAAGGAGCTCTTTGTGTGTGACCTGAGGCTCCTGGAAGGCACAGGAACCCCCACGACTGGGGCTGGAGACCGAGGGAACGGGGCGTTCACCTGCTGGTCACCCCCCGGCCGTGCCGGCCCCACCAAACGCCCTCTCCTTTCCAGCCGCATCACAAAACCGTGAGCAGCAGCTCAGAAGCCCTCGAAAAAACTCCCTGGGCCGTGGTGGAACAGCAGCTGCCAAAGCTGAACCCGACAGTGCCCTACAACAGCTCCACTGCCCCGGGGTTTGCTTTGCCCGGCACGGTCTGAGTGTGAGGAACTCCGGGGGCACAGCAGCATGCACCATACCCAGTGTAGAATAGAAAAATAAGCTATTTACATCAACAGGCATCATTATTTTATTTCATTTTTGCTTCATTTCAAAAATAATTAAGGGACACTATAAGCAGCAGTAGGCACATCAGTGGGGTTTGCAGTTTGGGTCTCTAAAGCCCAGATCTCTCATTCCAAGTGCTGTTACAGGCACAGCCAGAGCGAGCCACTGGTCTCAACTCTTGGCTTCAGGATGAATATCTCAGAAGCATTCAGGGCCCCAGTCTCACTCAGCTGAAGTCAGTATTAAAACTATAAGTAGATTAAAAGGAATGCAGACAGGATAAAAGCAGGTGGGCTTCTAAACGTTCCCTCCCTCCCTCAGAAGAACATTGGAAAAGATGCATCAAGCAAGAAGAAATTTTCGTTCTCTTTTACTGATGGGGAAACCGTGGCAGGAGAAGACTAAGTCACTTGGCCAAAGATTCTAAGGCAGTCTGTGGTAACACGAGGAAACTGTATTTCTCCATGGTCTTAGTCCAGTACCTTAACTGTTCACTGCCCACCTCTGTCCTCACCTGACCCAACACAACCAGAAGCATCGTGGGAAGTGTGGCTGAAATATTGTAGCATAGGAGGGATCAAGCTCTGTAGCCTTTAGGAGCCTGTGAGCCATTCGAGTCAGTTCTGGTCACTGTAGTTTATGATTTCTTTAATCTACCAAACCAGAGCCACTTCCAGCTCAGCAAAGCAATCAACATCATGCTAAAGAGTTCAAAGCATTCAAAAACCCACAAGACTGGTTCTTTAGGAACACAGGCAAGTGTCTGATGAAAGTTCAAGTCCTGCTTTGGACTGCAGTCAGGATCAGATGTCTGCTCTGGGTATCACAAACCACAGGAGCTTGGCACATCATCCCCCAGGAGGAGGAGGGTCTTCAGTCTCGTGATGTTAATCATTGTTGTAGGGGTTTCTCGAAGAAGATACCCAAGGGTCAACCTGCTGGTGCAGTTCTCGGGTGGTGCTCCGGGCTTCAGCGGTCATTCTCCGAAACTTCTGCAGGTAAACAATGATGAAGATAACCAAGACACCCTGGAGGAAAAGGAGGATGAAGAGACAGAGCTGAGAGAGGAGAGCCAGGCTGCAGTACCAGTACTGGCAGGTGGAGTTGACCTCGTCCTCTGTCAGGTAGGCGATGACCCGGTGCTGCAGGTGGCTCGGGGAGCTGCACCTCACGTCCCGGTACAGGGTGCGGTTCTGCTGCCACTGCAGCCAGGAGCGCAGGTACAGGATGTCACAGGTGCATTCCCAGGGGTTGCCCTGCAGGTACACGACCTGCAGGCTCCTCAGGTTGTCAAAGAGCCCGTTGGGAATAGAGGTGAGCCTGTTGTAGCCGAGGTGGATGATTTCAGCCGAAGGACGGAAGGCAGCGGGCAGGTTTGCCACAGTGAGGTCCTTGGAGGTGCAGTCGATGATGGTGGTGGTGCACTGGCATGGCACAGGGCAGGTGGGCAGCACGAGCGGGAGGAAGCCAAGCAGGGACAAGAAGAGAATTCCCCTGTTCATCTTCACCTGCAAACACTTCCCTGGTGAGACTGAACGAGGTGAAGACCAGGCAAGTAGACACCACCCACTCCAGGACTGACACCACAGCCCCAGGTCTTTGGTTGGTTTGTTCTGAGGAGGAGTTCCTGAAGTTGGGTGAATTTGGTCTCCTTCACAGGAGGTCCGAGAGCTCTGAAAAGAACAAAGTTAAAAGAGATGTGCAAAATCTTGGTCTCTCTTTACAGGAGAGAAGAATGTTCCTGGTCTTCCAACCCTGTATTTGAGGAGGGATATGAACACATAGCTACTGGGAGGCTTAGCTGCAGCCATCAAATACATTTTCACTAGTCCTCCAAAGAGTACAAGAGCTGCTTCTATTTTCAGCATTAGTGGAGGTGAATCACTAGAGTAGCCAATAAAATTTCTGTCAAGGAATCAAAAACTAAAATATGAAACAGCTCATGCCTTATCATAGCTCTGAATTACACCTGTAAGCAAAGCTTTGTTCATGCAAACCGTAAGAGGAGATTCAGAAATAAATTTACTGTTACCACAAGCGAAAAATAGCCTTTCCAGCTTTGGAAAGAAGTGATAAACAGTCCTTGGCCACAGAAAGGGTACTGATCACTGAGGGTGGAGTTTTCCATGGTAGTTTTGCTCTAGCAGGTGAATAATCTCCTTCTGGAGCTGTGCCTGTGCTGCAGGACATGGGTCAATGAGCTGTCTTTACATTACAGCCTCGTGCCACTGCTGAGCACACGAGCTGCTGTAATTCTCCAGGAGAACAACTACACATACCTGCAACAAGGCAGTGCTTTCCTGTGCTGTCAACCAAAGAGAAAAAACAGAGCAGAAGGTAACTGTTGACTTACCAGAGTAGTCCAGTCCTTGCTTTCCCGCTGGCTTTAAAGAGCAGAGGAAGGTGTTGAGGCAGCCCAGGCAGTGCAGAGTGTGCCCTGCAGAGCTGAGCTCCCGGACAGAGCCCTGCAGCTGGCTGGCCAGATAAGGGTCAACTCATCCCCGGGACCTCCCACACGAGGCCTTCCCCACGTCTGCTGCATGTCAGGGAAGCTGATGCTGCACTGAGCAAGCCTTCCACAGGACAGGAGCTGGCACTGCCATGAGAACACGTTTGCTGGGATGCTGACAGGACTGATAACTGTGATTCTGGGCCTGGCACAGACACTGTACAGTCTCATGGCACAGCAACTCAAAGTGCACCTCAGCCTGCAAGGTGGCATTCCTGGTTTGTACCACACTCCCTGAGCACTGTGGCCTTTGGTTTCCCATCTCATCAGGGAAGCTGCACTTGGCAGGGGGTGAGAACTAGCTGTGCAGGCAGCACAGACCTGGCAACGCTTCTCTGGCTACTTACAAACTGCAGTGCCTGGGACTGGATCCTGCCCAGCTGCCCAGTGCTGAGTTAGACACCACTCCTAAGGGAAGCCTGAAGACAGAAGAACTTCAAGATCAGCTTGCTAGCTTCTGGCACAGCCAGGCCAGAAATCCCATGCAGGAAGTCCTGCCTGGAGCCTGTTCTGACAGAATTAGATAAAAGAAGAAACAGGGTGAGTTTTGCTCTCTCCTGCCCACAATGTATCACCAATGCTGCTGAAGAGGGCTGAAAATTAAACAGAAAGAGGTTGGGTTTTTGAATGTATTTATTTCACTGATCAATTCAGGTAGTAAACATTAATAATAATAACAATAATCATTTAATAAAATGGATACGTTTTAAAAGGTTTCATTTTTCTTTGTTCACAATGACAAAATGTTCAAACAGAAATTTACAAAAAAATATAATTATAATAACCCAAGAGATGGACAGGAAACAAAGAGCCTAGGAATGGAGCAGGGGGTGAGGAAGGAGCAAGCCAGCATTACAGCACAGCAGAGTTGTGAGGAGGAGCAGGGAATGCCATGGCAGAGCACGAGGAGGGGGATCCCTCCCTGGGGAGGAGCATGCAGGAGGCTGCAGGGGCTGCACAGGACCAGCACAGCAGTGGCACACAGACCTCATGCCCTGGCTCCATCCCCAGGCAGGCACAGAGTCGAGGGGACCCAGAGGGGCACCCTGAGAGTGGGACAGGGCCCTGCAGCCCCCCTGCAGCAGGACAGAGCAGGGCAGAGGCAGGGGAACGTGCCTGGGGAGCAGGGATCGCATGTGAGGCTGGGGAGGGTTGTGTGAGGGGGGGTGTTAAATTCCTTTCCTATCCACACTTCTCACTGCCAGAGCCAAATGTCCAAGCCACATGTGTTCAGGAGTCTCTTCTCTGCTTACTGGGTGACTTGATGCCACAGTACCCCTTTCATAAACAGATGCCACCTTCCAGGTACCTCCCTGGTGACCCCCAAAATCAGTCTCTAATCCCCTTCCAAGCAGCCTCTAAACTCTGGCACTCTGTAGGGAGCCTTCTACACGGAGATGTGATGTCAGTGGCACCGCTGCCCCTCTGCAGAAGCCACCTCTGGTGCCTCACTCCTGGGTGCTTTTTCCTAAATGCAACTTGAACCATCTTTGCCAAAGACTTCAGGTCTCTGTAGAGGACAGACTTGTGACTATCAGCTTGATGTAGGAGCCACGTGGAGACTTCCTCACCCAGAGGCACGGGGGCAGATCCACCCTCAGCAACCCTGCCTGCCTGAGACCAGTGTACCTGTGCTCTCACCAGCACACATCCTCCTCACTAACAAGACTAGTGCAAGAAAAGAGAGGACAGGTACTTCAAGGTGTTCCCTGTTACACTAGCACAGAAAGCTGAGGACTCAGCAGACCTGCAGCTTTGGCTGGAAGCAAACCAGCTCCAGAAAAGCTGGGAGGAAGGTTTCCAGCCACTCCACTGCTCAGGTAAGCACACTGCACAAAGAATGGGTTGTGTCCTCCTTAGGCACCTTGGTCCTGCATGTTATTGAAGCCAAGCTGAATCCTTCTGCTCTCCTAGGCTGGCACTGCCACTTTTGAGCCCAAAATAGGGGAGAATGAAAACAACCAACATTGCTGGACACTGCTCTTGCCCAGCTGGCACAGTTCTGCCAAAGGGCTTCCACCCTCACTCTGTCCTTCCCCAGGGTGCCAGGGTCTGTCCCCTGCCCCTACAGCCCATGGCTAAGCAGAGGCTCTGTACAGTGAATAACTGGAACCAGCCAACCTACTCACCACCCCGACAAGCCCTGCCCAGGACTCTAAAGCCCCATGGAGGAATCAAATGCAGTGCCTAAGAACAGAATTTAGGGCCTGGCTATTCCTGGCCAACGCTGCGCTTCCTACCCAGGGAGATCTACTGGGGAGATCCAGAGATGGAGGAGCAGATACAAAAGGGGAAAGGGGAGAGAGGAATCAGCCAAGGAGCAGAAGGGTCCAGCCCATGGGAGCACTCCCTGGAGCCAGAGAGAAGAGCCAAGTGTCTCTCCTCCAGCAGCCCTGATTCCTGTGAGCATGGCAGTGTTGCTGCTGAGCCCTGCCCTGTCAGGCACATCACACTCCAGGGCTCTGCTCTGGCTGGACTAGAGTTAAAAATACTGCAGGAAGCAAGAACAAGACAGGAGCTGCTGCTCAAAGAGTGCTCTTATCTCTGCCCAGCAGATCCACCAGCCTTCCCAGCATTAAGACAGGAAGAGCCTTGGACGAGGGAGGGGGAGAAGGGCTGAGTCCCAGGGGAAGGGCAGGGGAGCAAGTGCCAAGTCTGGTGGGCTGTGCTGAGCCCCAGGCAGTGACACTCCTGCTCCTGCCACACTGATGGAACACCTGCCTGGACAGGCAGCCTGCAGATCTCAGGTACAAGCCTACAAAAAGTGCCCCTTCCCCCAGGAGAAGCTCAGAGCCAGCAGTGTGCTCACCAGACTGCAAAGCCTGGGGACAGGACACAGCTCTGCATTTGGGGTTGGGTTTCAGCCCTAGAGTTTCTACTCCAGAGCAGTCCTGGCCCAGCACTCTGGCTGCCACGGTGCTTTTCAGAGCAGACACTGAAGACACACTGCAGCTGGATGACCAGAGCTAAACCAAGAGACACCCTCACCCAGCTACTGCAGGGCCCTGGGGTTCACCTACCAACACCTCCAGCCTGCCAAGGAAGGAAACCATGGCAGTGAAGGTGCTCACTCCCATCAAGGGAATAAACAACTCATCCTCTCTGCAAGAAAGATATAACTGAGAGTCAGAGAAGCGTTTTCTTCTAACCAGCCTTGAGAGACTCAGTCCCTTGCTGCTCAGTGCAAATATCCTGGAGCTTCTTGATAGGAAGAACAAAACCAAGCAACTAAACAAAAAACCTAGACAGGAAACCAGGGAACCATCAGTACTCCCGAGCAGGTCAGTGCACAGAGGAACCCCCAGCCCAGCTCTCTGGGCCAGAGCTGCCCCCAGGCTGAGCAGCCTGAGCAGGTCACACTCACAGGAGGGTCTGGCTGCCTTACAGTGCTGGCCCCAGACAAGGGCAACAGGGACAGGGGCACAGCACCTCACTTGGGAGTAAACATTTACGTGCATTGACACAGAGAGTCTTTAAGTTTGTACACCAGAGAAACCAGGACTTTAAATACCAGAGCATTCCTAAACAACAGATTAGTACATGGGAAAGGAGGATCTTCTTCTTTTCTTTTTTTAGGATGCCTTAGACACTTACCAGGCTAGTTTCTTTTAAAAAAAAAAAAAAAGAAAGAAAAAAAAGAAACAAAAGAATATTAAAAAAGAAAGAAATACACTTCAGTAAACTGTTAAGTGAACAGCCTCCTCCACAATCCAGCTGGCCGGAAAGCCAACATTGCTGCTAATAAATTAGAGGGTGCGGGTGCAGCTCTTGCCCACGAGTCTCTATACAACAGGAAACCTTTTCTAAACGTTCACAGCTCTTGCCAGGTCTCAGGTGGTCACTGGGGGATTCCCTCTGCCCTCCGGGTACCTGCCTCTCACTGATCCTGCATCTGCTGCTGCATCTTCTGCAGCATCTCTTGCATCCGCCGTAACTGCAGGAGACAGAGGAGAGAGTCAGGAAGGGACCTGCTGACCCTCCCTGGGGCAGCCCTCGGAGCTGGCAGGGATCCCTCAGGGAATATTAACTCCTGCATGAGCACAGAGCACCTGTACCTGGGGTGGAACGTGGCAACACTTCCCTGACAGGAAGAGCAGCTTTCCCACCCTGCACCCAGGAGCCCATGACAGGGGAGGCAGGAGGGGGAAGACTCAGGAGAGCCCCTATGGGGCAACCCCGGAGAAACACCTGAGATTCCACCAGCACCAAGGAGGTACAGGCAGAAACGGGTCTCACCTCCTCATCCTTCATCTTGATCAGCTTCTCTGTCTCGGTGTCTGGTGTTGGCAGAGGCAGGATGGGAATGGGGCTCTCTATCCTGTTGTCCTGGGTCAGCTTGCTGGAGGGACAGAGACAGGCAGAAACAGAGTCAGTTGTGGTTCAGGCTGCCTGGCTTTGGTGTCACCACACAGGCACTGTCCCTGCCCGTGGCAGACCAGCCAGCAATGCAGCAGCATCCACCCAGCCAGGGGGAAGGGCTGGGGGCAATCCAGCCCAAAGCTGAGGGATGCACTTGGATACAAAATGAGACCAAAGCCAATGACAGTTTTCAAAATACAAGTGTGTGGGTAGCTAACAGAAAATCCAAACCAGGCTCACACTGAGAGCAAACACAGAAGGGGCTGATATTTCCAACCACCTTCTGTAATTGCATTGGCAAGCTGAGCAGAGATATTAAGAGACAATTTATCCAGCCTCTTTTGGCTCTTCTGTCTGTGTGCCTACACATGCACACAGCATCAACACAAACCATCAGCATCCCTCGGGCACCACATGCTCACCGTGAGCCTTTTTTTTCCAGGAGGATAAAACCAGAGGAACAGTTTGATTGCTGCAGGTCTGGTAACAAAGCCTGCCCTCCTACTCAGGAGGTGGGAGGCAAGAAACAGGCACAGCACAGCAGCGTTGCTGTGAGGGCTGGGGGTGCACACAAGTGCAGGCAGGGGACAGAGAAAGCAGGTGACTTTCTTCCCAAAGTCAGAGGAACTCTCAGTGGGTGAGGAGGGGATGACAGTAGCCACTGACATCTGGGCTGAAATTGGAACTTCGAGATGTCACTTGCAGGCGTTCACCACTTGGAGTCACCACTGCCTCATCACTGAGACAATTCCAGCCCTGCAGCTTGGGGTCTGCTCCCAAAAGGACTCTCTAGAAAGGGCCCTGCTCTGGTTTTATGAGACTTGTTCACTGGCATGGAACTAACCATGGCGTGAGAAATGGTACCAAACTGAAGCTCCTCCTGAGCTCAGCAATTGCTTCTGCATCGTGCTCTTCTTTTAATAGACACACAGCCCACCTAACCAGCAGCTGTGGCACTGCTCAGCAGCTCTAGCATTTAACAGAGTTATTTTGGGACTCCACACACTCACTGCTGAAACAAACAGGCTTGTCTGCTATGCAAAAGGACTGGGATACCCTGCGTGTCAAGAGGATGTGCCAACCTGCACGTCGGCACAGCCGGGACTGCTCCCTGCTGAGCCACAGCCACTGCTGCTCTGGGGCAGCACAGACACCCAGGGGGCTGGTCCCCAACTGAGCAGCCAAGACCTGCTTGAATCTAAACTCTGCCACCACTATATCAGTCATGGAAGGGAGAAGGAAAAACAGAGGTCTCTAATGAGAAACCCATTTGTGTTGTCCCTTCTGTTTTCTGACCATTGTGATTAAAACCATGGAGAATCAAATGCAATGGGAAGACAATGCACAGAAATCTTTGGAGACGTGTTGCCTTACTAATTGCCTGGGCTTTGTTGTCTGAGAAACAGCAGCATCCCAAGGGTCATGCTGTCATTTGGACAGAACTGCAGACGGCAGAACACCTTCCTCTTCAGCAATGCACACAGCTATCAGCCCCCAGACATGGTTTGTCCCATTTTATTAGGCTGGATGTGTTTCATCCAGTGCCAGAAACAGCTCTCCAAAATAATCTTTAGGCTGTTTCCCAATAGCTGCATGGGGGATCCTCAGACAGTAAAATGGGTTCTCAGCAGCATTCCCAGCATGGGTTCAAGGCTGTGGGAAACACGCTGGGATTTGCCCCTTTAGTTCCCAGTGCCCAGCACGGCCCCAGCACAGCCCCAGCCCTCTGAGCAATGAGCTGCTGTGAGACATCCCTCCCCCCGCAGTGGGGACCCACCTGGTCATCTGCTGGATGCACTGAGCCCGATAGTTCTCGTAGTGGACGTCGCAGGTGACGTCCTTCAGGTCGTGCATGTGTGTCCGGATCAGCATGTTCCGCAGCTTCACAAAGTCACAGTGGGCCTGGTTCTCCACTGCACAACCAACAGGGGAGAGCGTTTCACACCTCACCAGCTCATTGCAGGCAGCCCTGGCACCCAGGCTGGACTAAATCCCCACCCCAGGGCTCCTTCCTCATCCTCCCCCACGCTCCCCCTCCATGGCCCAGCACAGCCTCCAGGATGCTCTGCAGTTTCCAGTGCTGAGGCCAGGCTGCTGCAGTCACTGTGTCCCCAGGACTTTTTCTGGGTAACAGGATTAATTAAGCATGAGAGAGGATCCCAGGTACATGGGATGTCACTGTTATAACCACAGTGAGCACAGCTGGTGCTGGAGGCAATTGCTTGTCTCATCAGAATTCAGGACTTATCAAAAGGCCCCTGTAGACAAAATCAGCCCCTGAGGGGCAAAGCCAAGAGCAGGATGGAGAGCTGAAAGAGCTGCTGCTGCCATGGGGAGCCTGGCTCCAGACAGCACTGTGGGAAGTGCTGTGCCTGCCCTGTGATCTCCTTCACCTCTCTGTGGGGCTGGGGGAAGCCAGCTGTGCCAGGCACGGGCAGTCAGAGCTGATCCTACTGCCAAATGCCAGCATCCCAACAGGCCCAGTGCCCTCTGGAGCCAGCAAGGGACCAGAGCCAGCAGCTGGGCAGCCAGCACCACCAGCCACGAGTGCACACACAGGCTTTTGGGATCTAAAGCTGCAAGGCCTAAAAGCAACAAACCAGCACGGGGGAGTCAGCAACAGCAGCAAAAGCCATTCCAGGGCTTTATGAAACTTCTCCCTTTAGAAAGGAAGAAAGTTGGAGACAAACACATTGTGCATCAGCACAGCCTCCAGCCCAGCAACTCCAGCCCTTACAGGAGAGGCAGCAGAGGGAGGAGTGCAGGAGGGTTTAGCATTGTTTGGCTGAAGGCAACGGCTTCTCCCTGGAAACTAAATGGGCAATACCTCCCCCCTTGACAAGAAGCCAAATCCTAGTGCATAATAAAGCCCAGGCATTCTCCCAGTCACACTGGAGCCCCTCTTCTTCAGTCTGTCATGGCAGGGTTATACCTCACTCCCAGTAACAGACCTCCTGAGCCAGTCCCGGTGCCTCTGTCTCATGTCCCCTGCCAAAGGTGGCACAGACAGTGCAGCTCTCCCCTGCCACCCCTGCTGTAAGTGCCTCCCCCCTCCCAGTGCCAGTCCCCAGGCTGCAGGCTCACCTTCCACAATGCCCCAGGGGTAGAGCCGCCCCCGGACTCGCTGGCCCTTGGCCTCCACCACGGTGTTGCTGCCGATGACGGCGAAGGGAGCGCTCTCCTGGAACAGAAACATCGCTGAGCCCCACCCCGGCTGCCATGGACCCTCCTCCAGGGTCCCTTCTCTAAGGGAAGCTCTCCAAGGAAGCCAGAGCAAAGAGGCTGGGACACCAAGCAAGGGGGACAATGTGGGACAAGAGCTTGTCCAGGCAGGAAGGTACAGGCTGTGCTCCTCTTTGCTCAGAAGGGAGTCAGAGCCCATTGCCACCCTCTGACAGGAGAAACAAGGCCATACTCCCTGCACCCACAGGGCTGGCTCGGCCTGGGAGGGGGTCAGGACTGGGCTGCTGGGGCCTCCAGACATGCCTGTAGGATCATGGGTTCCCCCATGCAACTGATGTGTCACAGTGGTGTCTGTTCACTCTCAAACCCCTCCTTGCTGATGGTATCACTCATAGGTGCTTAGAAATAGGTGCTTAGAAATGCTGCACAACCCAGCCTTTATCTTAAATATACAGGCTGGGGTAGATGAAGGGAAGACTGACTGACACTGCCTGGAGGGAGAGCAGAAGTGCCACGTCTTCATGCCACACTGGACTTCATGGCACCAGCAAGGACATCAGCACCTTCTCCAGGCCACCCCCCACATGAGCCAAGGCTGTCCCTGGGTACCCGTGGCACTGGCCTTTGGCACACACAGGGCAGCTCTGGCTCCTTCTGGAGCAACCCACATATCCATGGAGCCTGACTTCCCAGTCCTCTGCTGAGCAGGTTCCTTACCTTCAGCTCTCTGTCTTGCTGCTTGAACTCTTCATCTTCATCGGAGTCACACTCAGGAAACTGGTACACTTTAATGCCAAATTTGTCAATCTCCTCCCGGATCTGTGTCCAGGCAAGACAAAACCAAAAGGATTTAAAAGTGAACAATACAGAAATGCTGGGTTTATTCTGTTTGTGCTACCGTGGGTTTGCTGTAGCCTACAGATGGCAAAAGGATTTGATGTTCCTTCTAGAGCTGGCCTCTCTGCTGACACCACCTCCCTTCTCACAGCAGAGCACTGCTGCAGCTACACGTGGAGGTTCTGTCTGTGCACATATGTACCTATACACACAAACAAGCTGTACATAGATCTCTATCTCCCCTCCCTCCTCAGCCCAGCAGATACACCCTGCAGAGACAGAGCATCTCACCCTCTCCTTTAGCTTCCGGATCTCGGAGGGGATCAGGCAGTCGGCTTTGGCAATCAGGGGCACAATGTTCACCTTCTCATGCAGAGCCTTCATGAACTCAACATCCACAGGCCTCAGCCTGCAGCAGGGATGAGGAGAGACACAGTTAGGAGGGACACACTGGGCAGCTCCCCTGCAGCCTCTGTCACCCCCCAGCACAAAGGACAGCAGTGACAGAGGGCTGCAGCAGCACCGGGACAGCCTTGGCCAGGGCTGTACCCTCAGGAAAGCTGTCCCCAGTTTTAGCTGCTGAACGTCTCACAGAGACACAGGCTGGGGATTGGCTCCCTTGAAGGCCAAACACTGCCCAGGCCACAGCCTGGGGTCTCACTCCAGCTGTCCTGTGCCACAGGACACGAGGCTGACACGTGAGCCAGCACGGGGCAGGGACCCAGGGCAGCTTAAAACTCCCTTTCCTCTGCATCACTCAGGCTCAGCCAGATAGGAGCACACAGGTCTGTGTGGCCATTGTTTCTTCTGATTTCAAACCAGGCTGTAAGGCCTGAGGGAGATCTGCTCTGCCTGATCACAGGCAGCCTGTCACCCAGCGAGGGGGAGTGGTGTGATGCTCAGCCCAGGGAGAGCATCCAGACAGCTCTTCTCCTGTGCCAACAGCCCTGCCAGTGGACAAGCTGCTGTAGGGCAATCCTGGGGCACAAGGGTCTTCCCTCCAGGCCTGCAGTGGGGCTCTCACCCGTGCCCGAAGGGAGAGATGAAGTAGAGGCAGCAATGCACTCGGTTGTCCTGAATGTTCTTCCTGTTCAGGCCACTCTCGTCACGGAAATACTGCTCAAACTGCTGGTCAATGTAGTCAGTGATGGGCTTCCAGCTGGGAAGGGCAATGCAATCAAAACAAAACCATGAGTTCAACAGAGCAGTGTCTCCTAGAGGCTCTGAAGCCAAGGACTAGAAGGCAGGCAGCAGTGCCCTGCTCACCACTCAGTGTTGTTAACAGCATCTCCAAAGCCTGGCGTGTCCACTATGGTCAGCTTCAGCTTTACACCCTTCTCCTCAATGTCCACCGTGTGCTTGACGATTTCCACTGTTTGATTGATTCTCTCTTTGAACAGGAACACGTGAGTTAAAGCCAGGCAGTGACACTGGGGATCCCCTCTCACACCCAGAACAAGCCCACTCCCTCCTTATCACTGAGCACAGGGACTAACATGGGTCTCAAAAACCCCAATCACCCTCTAAGGAGCCTCAAGGGAGTGGTACTGTGGGAGGCCAGCAGCAGGCAGGCAGACTCCAAGAAGATACCCAGACCTGTGAAGTGCCTGCAGCCCAGCTGTTCTGAACATCTGGCCCAGTCACTGGGGAAGGGGAATCCCTTCTACTCTCCAGCACCCAAGAACTAAAGACAAACCTCAACATCTCAACCCAAAGGGTTAGTGCTGCTTTGCAGCCTCATCTTCCCTTCATGGGATAGAAGAGGCCTACAGCCAAACCCTTCTTGCTGGAACAGCAGTGCCTCTGCAGACACAAAGGAGAGCAGAGCCACAAACAAGAGGGCTGGGATCCAGAGGAGTCTGTAGCTGCTTCTGAAGCAGGGAACCAAAGTACTAGTCCTTAAGACAGTCCCATTCACCCCTCTCTGTCCCCAGCTTACCCTCTGCATTGAGGAGCTTCCTGTCTTTGTAGAGGTCTGTCAGGAACAGGCTATTCACCAGCGTGGATTTGCCCAGACCCGACTCTCCTAATTGACAGAGCGCAAAGAGGAGGAGGAAAAAGCAAGCAACATGACCCTCTAATTGACTTACAAATGAAACTCTGAATGAGGCTTTGAATCCCGAGCCAGAGGAAGTGAGAGAGACAAGCTGTCAGGAGCTATTTATTGGCATTACATTTTTCCAGCAGTGGGAGGACTTTTGCTGCAAGATGTCTCAATCCTTGTACAAATGTGATCTCCCAGCTCCCCCACCCTCCCTCTCCTTCCTTTCCCTTGGTCCCTGTCTGGCCCTGCCTTCCCCACCCGGAGCAGTCCCTGTTGGCAGAGGAGCTTGACTGGGCTGTGAGGGGTCAGGAGGGGCCTGTTCCCCCTGGGGGAACTGCCACAGCCTGGGGAGGAAAGCAGAGCCTGAGACAAGGACCAGAACAGGGTGAGGGGAGGACCCAGGCACTGTGGGAGCACCTAAGGGGAGTGAGGAGAGCTGGTTCCCTCCTTGTGGCCCAGCCCCCTGTGCCCATGGGCAGCCTCACCTGCAACCATCAGGGTGAAGTCGAAGCCCTTCTTCACGGATTTCCGGTGGACCTGGTTGGGCAGAGTGGCAAAGCCCACGTACTGCTTCTCATGGTCCTGCGGGGCAGAGGGCAGGGCAGCAGGTCAGGGTGTGCCACCCCTTCTGCTTGAGCCTCACACAGCCACGGGGAGGGCACTGGGGCAGAGCCAGGGCCGGAGGAGAGGCCAGTCCCTGCCCTGGGCACACAGCTCCTCTGGGCTCAGGGGGGGACAGGGGGACACCCCTCCCAGCCACAGCCCTGCTCAGCTGCTCTCAGGGAGCTTCCCAGCACAGAGAGCACAAGGGAAAAGCACATCCCACCATTCCCAGGAGAGAGCACATCTGGGGCTGCTGCTGACACACAACCTTCCTCTCCATGCTTCTCCTCCACAGCTGAGGGCACCCTGCACAGCAGGGTCACCAAATGCCACCTCTCCCCAGGTCCTTTCCACATCCCTCCCTCCAGAGGCACATGAGGTACGTGATGGAGAGCTCTGTAATTAGCTCCCTGGGGCTTGTGCTGCTCTGAGCTGTGTCTGGTGCAGTGGCTCAGCTTCTGCTTGACCTGAGAGGGGATTATTTCTTGCTGTGTCACAGCCACTCCTGGCTGAGTAAGAGGAAATCCTGAATAATCTCTTGTGTTATTTCTGAAGAGACTGAAGTTCAAGGAGCATGGGAAGTGGGAAGATGTGGAAATATTGATAACACAGCTGAGATGCTTTTGGTGAGGGTATTCCATTAGTACTACAGGAGTGTTACCTACTGCCCAACCACCCCAGACGCTGTCACTGAGCACCCTCTCACAGCACAGACCCAAAACCACCCCACAAGCCTGGCACATGCTCTGTATGAGCACACTGAGCCATTCACAAATGCTAGAGACACAACAGACTCCACTTTTCAACACTACTGAAAATAATCATACCCCTGGGACCCACACCACAGAAAAATCCACAGAGCCAGGAGTTCCTCAAAACCAGCCCCAGCTCCCACTCGGCCACGGATGCCTCCAAGGTGGGACTGTCCTCACCTGTCCTCAGGCACAGCAGGGAACACCTCTGTTCCTAAGCTTAACTATCTCTATTCCTGGGCCACACACCGAAAAACCCACAGAGCACAGTCCAGTGTGCTGGGCTCGGGGCAGTGCTGACCTGCCTTTGTTTCCACACTGCAAGTGGACAGTGCCACTCCTGAGCAGGTTTGGTTTGGCTCTGACACTTGGTCACTCTACCCTGCCAAGCAGTGACTGTGGGCTCTGGTCTCCCTCCCCTCCCTCCCTTGCTGACAGAGCTGAAGCTGTTTCACCACCACACAGTGCAGAAGGCAGGAAGGGACAGAGAAAATGAAGTTAGAGAGAACGGGGGAGAATTACAGAGTGCCCCAAGTGCTGCACTGGCAGCTGGAATGGCTGAGCTGAAGGCAGGGACACCCCAAAGCAGCAGTGCAGGGAGCAGCAGTGCAGGGAGCAGCAGTGAGACCCCGGGGTGAGGAGGGTGATGAGCTGCACGTAGCAAAGCAACACCTGCCTGGGCGACACTGAACTATCACCCAAAAGGCTCAGCAAAGGGCAAACACAAGGTGTGCAAAGCAGAGCGAGAAACATCATAATGGCAAGGTCCCAAAAACAAGAAAGAAGAGGCTGCTTCCATTCCAGCCTGCGTCCCTTGGTGCCAGGGCTGTGTCCCAGCTGCTTCACTTCCCAGTGAACACATCCATGAACACAACCAAAGGGGACATGAACAGCCCACACCTCACACTGGAAGGGCCAGTGTTTCCCAGCAAGCACCACAGACATACAACACACTTCCCTTTGTGCTTCCCCTGCCCTGATCTTTACCAGACTTTGGAAAGACGATGATTACCTGCTCTCTATTGTGACCTGACACATGAAATAGGACTAGTCCTGTGCTAATAAAACCAGAGCCGAGGTGCAGGGTGTGTTTCTCCTGTTTTCTTTGGGTTTTAACCTGGATGACTAAGGGCTGGCAATGGAGACTCTGGGGCAACTCCATTTACTTCTGCCAGGTGTAACTGGCTGAACCTGATCTCTCGTTTCTGTTCAGCCCAACCAGGACAACATGGATTTACCATTCCTCTGGGTGCCTCCCCACAGCTCGGAGGAATCACCACATTCCACATGAGCAAATCCCAGCTGGTGGAGGACACTGCCCACAGTTCCTCATCAGGGCTCTGAGGTACCCGATGTGTGCTCCTATCCCAGCCGTGTTTGGGCACGTGCCACTGTCTCTGCCCGTGTGCCACCATCAACAAAGCACTTAAGGAGCCCAGCGAGCCCCCTGAGCCCAGTGTGTGCCTTGCTCAAAGCTCTACACCCCTCCTTTAGACTCAACAAGGGCAGTATTTGCAGTGCTACTGTGCACAGGATGGAGAGCACTGAAGAGAATGCAGAGGCCTGGGAGCACTGCTGAAGGAGGCAGGAGGGTTTCTGGGTTGTGAAAAGCTAAAACCCATTAAACAGATGAGAGGCCTGGAGTGAGGGAGTTCTGGAGGCATCACCACCCCCTCTGTGTGCTCTCAGCCCTCCCAAGCCAGCTCCCCTCACGCTGACACAAGCCAGGACAGCTGGTCACGGCTCTGTGCTTCCCTTCCAGCTCCAGCTGTCGGTAAAGGGCCCCGCCAGCCCAGCCAGGAGCACTCTGGCACAAGGAGCCCTCTCCCCACTGCCAGCTCCATGGAGCTGCCTTTGTTCCTGCTGCCATCCCGCTCCCCCGTGCCTGGAAACGTGCCCCCTGTACCACAGCAGAGGCCACCGAGAGCAGTGGCCAATCTTTGGGACTCTGTCACAAACCAAAGCACCCCAGGCCAAGCAAACCCTGCCCGTGCTCTCCCTCAGCACACACTCCTGGTTCGAGGAGGTGACAGCAACATGTCACATCCTCACATCTCCCAGTACCCAGAGAGCTGGCCAGGGCTGCCTGGCAGGCAGTGCTCTCCCTGGGAGCTCAAGCCAAGCAACAAAGCCCTGGTGGGTTTGTTGGAGAAGCTCTCCCAGTGTTGGCAGTGCTGTCTGTACCTCCAAGGCAGAGCACACTGCACAGCCTCCATCACACCCGTCCTTCCCAATCCCCTCACCACCTCTGTGGTGGAGATGCTTTTTAAAACAACCCAGGACTCATGTGACTTCTCCATTCAGCCAGGGGATAAATGAGGCCTTGCTGGGTCTATTCAAATGGGCTAAAATTAAGCATGATAGGACCACAGTATAGTATGGCCAGTCTTCGCGAACGAAGATTTGGGAAAGGTCTTTTACCTTTCCAGCCTGCGCAATGGATTTTTTAGGTGAGACACAGCCTGCGCTGAACTGAGCCCACCCTTTAATCCTAAGGTTCATCTGCCGGGGCCAAGCGAGCTTGGACAATGGCAGTGAGATCCTCAGGATGTAGGTTTGTTTAGGACCACAACAAATTCGAAGAATAGCCCCTATCAGGGCCTGGAGCGAACGCCAGAAATGATGGAGCTGTGCTAGGATCCTGGTGCTGCTGGCTCCGCTCCTGCAGGGGAAGGGGCCTGCCGCTGTCCCCGCCTGCAGCACAACCTTCCAGCTCCTCCCGGGCCCTTTCTGCAGCCGCTCCCCGGCCGGGCACGGCCCCAGCCCGGAGGGAGCCAGAGCCAGACCCTCCGCGTCCTTTCCCCGCACAGAGCCCCGAGCAGCGCCGGGCATCGCCGCGGCCATCGGGCCTGGGCCGAGCACCGCAGCACTGGGGCTGAGCACCGCAGCCTCGCAACCCTCGCCCACCAGCGCTCGCTGCAGAGAAGGGACGCGGGCCAGCAAAGCACGGCATTAACGCGCTGTTAATTAACGCAAACTGGACTGCGTGTGGGCACACAGCCCGCCCTGAGCCCCCCCCGCGCACAAACGCCATTCTCGGAGGGAATCACTGCACCAAATCACCAAATCACCGAAATGTCGCACATCTCCGGCCGCGCCGCTCGCCCTCGGCCCCGCTCCCGGGGGCTGCTCCCCTCCCTGTGTCCCCGCCATCCCTCCCTTACCAGCGCCTCGCCGCTCCTCTGCTGCTCAGAGGGCTCCTCCCGAGCCGCACACGCCCGCTCGGGCACCATCCTCCCCCCGTGTCCCGCCGCTGCCCGGCTCCGCAGCGCTATAAATACCCCGTACCTTCAGCCGGCCCGGGTGGCTCCGCGGTGCCTGCGGCCGCGGCGACAGCAGCCGCTCCGCCAGCAGCTCCTGCAGGATGAGCGCGTCCATGAGCGGGACGGACGGACGGACGGACGGACGGACAGCCACCGCGGGCCCGCCGCAGCGCCCCAACCCATGTGTTGTTCCCCGCCGGCCCTCGGCAGATCCATGCGGCAGAGCCCCCCCGCCCACACACACGCGGGGCCGGCCCGGCCGCGGGGCCGGCGAGGAGCGGCGGGGAGCGGCGGGGAGCGGCGGGGAAGGCTCGCAGGCTCCCAGGCAGCTGCCCGGGATTTCCTGCCTCCGCCCGTGCCGCGGGAGGAGCCTGCGGCAGGACAGGACAAAGGCCAGGGCGGCCGGGCCGATGTCGCCGCGGTGTCCCCGCACGGGCCGGATGCTGTCCCTGCCACTCCGCCCGACAGATGGGCTCGTTCGGCTGCGGGGTTTCAGCAGAGATCCTGCCTGACGCAGCCGAGACAAAGGTTTGCTGGAGGAAACCTGCTCTCAGCAAGAATGTGCCGATTATGGCTGTGTGGGTGACGGTCTCAGGGGTCTGGAAAGCTCCCAAAAAGCAGGGCCCAAACGTAGCCCCCAGATCCTAGTCTTGGTTGATGTGGATCTGCTTCCACATGGTGCAGGTTCATCTGTTGTCCAGACTCTATTGCAGCCTCATCTCTGAATCCAGTTGGAATAGCAAACTGGATGTATTCTGGACCTTACAACCACCTCAGCTTCAAAGACATTTCAGAACAAGGAAGTATCTGCATGTTTGTTAAGCAGACAAACCCAGCACACCACAGAATTAATTTAAACTTCGAGTCTGGGTTCTGAACCTGCCTATAAGATCTGCTTTCCACCATTCTGTGCAGCCACAGAAACCAACTGGGGGGTAATACCACAGCATGCATAATGAAGTGACAGGAGGTGACGGCACTTGTGGTGCTGGAGGAACCTGTCCCTTGCCACACAGCTTCCTGAGCAACTCTCTGCTCACCCATGGGAAGGACACATTCAGCTGTACTCCTGCCCTGCTCCCAGAGCTCCCACTGCTGCTCTGGGAACTGCAGGTCTCTGGCAGTGGCTCCACAGAGCACCTGACTTGCAGGGTCTGCACTGGTCACCCTGGGACCACAACCCGGGGTCTCCACCAGGCCCCCAAGTCTGGCTGGCACCAGGTTCTGCCACAATGTACTGAGTCATACAAGGTCCAGTGGCCTGAAGTCTGGAGGCAGCTGAGAGTGGAAAGGTCTTAGATATACACCACATGCTGAAAAAAAGGAAAGAAGAGGGAAAAAACCCCAGTGTTTTTACCTATGCTGCCATCCTGCCATCTGAGGGAAGGCAACGTCACAGGCACAAGGTCCTAAAGGCTGAGAAAAATAAATGGAGGAGAACTGGGAAACACTTCCAGAGCAGGAAACCTCCCACCATACAGCAGCTGTCATATCACATGCACGAAGCCCTTCTCCAAACCACCCTGCTCTGCCAGCAGTATCCTTAAATTACACCCACTGGGTTTTGCTCCCAGTGCATGCAGCAGTCAAGCAGAAGGCCTGGACTGCGATCCAGGAGTGGCAGGAATTGCCACTGCTCAGAACACGGCCCCGTTGGGCAGCTCGGCCCCTGCTCTGCAGTATTGCTCCTTTCCTCAGGGAGCTGACAGCCCTGCACGGCTCTCCCAGCCCAGTGGTAGGTCAAGCCGTGCTCATGACACCTTTTTTCCTCCCAGGTTCCCAACAGGTAATCAATCCCTGCTTTCCTGGCAGAGGACTCACCCTGGGGTCTGCAGCTTGCCCAGGACTGAGGAGCAGTGATGGTACAGCACTGCCTGCACTGGGCAGCAACAGCAGGGCCTTGTGGCTCACCAAAGATGCATCTTACGTGAGATAACGGGAGGTTTCACACCATAAACCACAATAGCTGCAAGCAAACCTCCTCCAACCCCCATGAATTTCATGGCTTGGAAAAGCCTTGTCTGAGGGCCACAGGCCACACGGCCACCAACCACAAGTATCTTCTAAGTGTCCCCACGAGCCCACTGCACCAAATCAGAGCATTCCTCTGAGCTGGGATCACAGATGAAGTCAACAAGGATTTAGTTGCGACAAAACCACAGTGTTGTTCATGGCCCCAGGAGCTGTGCTGACAGTGCAGAGAGGAACAAGGGACTGCTGTCTCCTGAGTGCCTTAAGCTCTCACACATCATACATGCTCTCAGGATGGGCAGTCAGGGAGGAATTCCAGTCAGAAGGCCATGCCTGGGAACTCAGAGAGCAGATTAGGAAAAGAAACTCAGAAGAGTAGGTCTTGGCTACAGAGAGCATCTTAAGGCTGAGTGGCCAATGCGATGGCTTCCACAATGATGGACAGTCCCAGACTCAGCCTCTTCTGTCCCTCCTAGAGATGCTCATCTTGCCTCCTCAGAGTCACCAAACCATAAATGACAGACTCATTCCTGTCCCTCAGATGTGCCCATGACACACCCAGAGCTGTTGGCTCAGGCTGGTCTGTGCAAACTTCCCAAAGAAAGATGAGCCACTCTTGTTTTGCCCTGTCCTGATCACCCTCCTCTCTTTCCACCCAGCCCCTGGAAATGCCCAGTGTAAACCCTGGCCTGCTCCTCCAGCAAGAAATCTGATGTATGACATCCTCAAGACAGGAAAAACAGCACACAGGACCTCTCATGTGTGGTGTGAAGCAGAGCTCAGTAAGGAAAATCTTTGCCCTTTCAATATCTAGAGCAAAACCTACAATGTTTTCTTGCACTGGCACCTCTAAACTCTCCAGGCAGGCGTTAGCAGCAGCACTCAGGGGTGAAGTGGGCTGCAGAATCCAGGTTTCTGACTGTCAGAGCAGAGCTTGGCCTGGCCCCAACCTGCCAAACAGCAAGGGCAACACAGGCTTGGGGTGCATCATCCCACCTCATGGACCAGCTCTCCTTTGTCAAACTGTGACAGCAGAGAGAGGTCCCCACCCACAGGGAAGCTGGTTTCTGGCAGATGTGCTGTGGCCCAGGGGCTGCAGTGCTCAGGCTCCATCCTGGGTGAACAACCAGGAGCATGTCACAGAAGGAAAAATCTTCAGCCTGATCCAGACAGACGCTCCTGAGCAGCACAGAGGGGGGGAACAGGAGCAGGGTCCCCCCAGGGATGCACCAGCCAGGCTGGCTGAGCAGGAGAGCTGTGAAAGGCACATCCAGGGCTTGGCAGGGGCAGCAGAGCCACGTAATAACAGCATTTATGTTTTTTCCTCTGAAGCAGACAAAGCTATTTTCAGAATTCCCCACAGAAGGGAAATTTTCTTCCTGGCTGTTTTCTAGGATGACGGGAAGGGCAGTTCCAGAGGAGTTGTTTGCTCAAGTGGAACAGGAGCAGCAGCAGGCAGTAAAACCACTCCCAGCTTGGACCAGGGTGATGGAGGCTGAGGAACTGCAGGTACCCTCCTTGCAGGGGCAGAGCTGGGAACCTCCAGGACTCAATTCCCACCTTCTTCTCCTGCTGCCTCCTCTCCCACTGCATGGAAAGTCAGTGCTGACTTCAGACAGATGAGTCTCATGGGCCCACACAGTCTGAACTCTGCTGCTCCATCACCAGCAGAGCTGCACACTCACCCTGAGGCTCCTGCTGACCTGATCAAAGGGGAAATGCCTTGCTGATCTAAACTCTGATGATTAACTTAACCTTGAACTTGCAAGCAAGGCTCTGTGTGAGTCGCTACTGGGAGCATCAGAGCCCTGACACTTCAGCCAGGCTTCATTCTTTGATGCTCAAGGAAAAGCAAGATACCAGGCCAGAGGTGAAGAAATCCCAAAGCACAGGATTAATACCCTGTACATTCAGTGCCACAAGCACAATCCACACAGCAACCAGATCTTGTCTTTTCTTTTACCTACCCCACAGGTCAAGCTTTAATTTCCGCTCAAGGATCACTGCTGTTTTGTCACCTAATCCCTCCAGAAATCTATCAAATTCCATTTCAAAGGTATTTGTGCTCCCTGCTTCCACTTGAAGTGCCTCGTGCTTCCCCAGAAGCACAGTGTGACTCATGCCACGCTTCCACTTCCAGCTCTCAAAAAGGACCAACGACCATAAGTTGCCTCCTGCTTGTTTAAACTCGTGACTCGCTCTGGAGCGAGATCACGGCGCTTCCTGCGCTCAGCTCCTCATCCCGGATAACCTGCAGGATGTGACAAGCCGGGCAGCCGTGGATGTGGCTGGGTCTCGGGCAGGCAGCCGTGGATGTGGCTGGGTCTCGGGCACAGCTCGGTCGCTGTGTCCCCTCCCCGGAGGAGCCGCTGCGGTACCGGCTCGTTCCACGCGAGGGAGAAGCGGGCCCGCGGCAGGGCCGTGTCCGAGCCCTTCCCCGGCCAGGGCCACGCGGGAACCCACGTGCGGCTCAAAACCGCCCCCCTCGCTGCTCCCACCCCGCACAGGGTCACAGGCACGGACACCTCCGACTGCGAACGCATTCGAAACCTTAGCACAGGGCGGAGGCTTCCAAATTTAGCCTGGAGGAGAAACCAAGTGGCGCAGGAAGGTCTGCGGCAGCCTCAGCACTGCCACTGCTCATCTCTCCCCCTGCTTCATTCTCCAGCTCTGCAGCACGAATCAGGCTTAAACAGAATGCCAGGCTCTCATCTCAAAGCCACAGCTGGGAAAACCAGAGAGAGGAGAGCCCTGCCAGCCCTGGGAAGCCAGGAACAGCAACACGTGGGAGACAAACAGGTACACGTTGCTCTGTGGCACAGAAGCTGGCTGGGCTTGGAGCTGTTTGGTAGGAGAGGATGGAAGATAGTGGTGATTTATCCTCTGAAGTGCAAGAGCACTGCTTCTTCCAGCTCTCAGGTTCTCCATCCAAATGGCAAGAGCCCCAGTGGTTTTGGAAGCTCTTGATGCATGTTAACATACATGACCAGGAAAAGGCTGGGGACAGGATCCTACAGAAGGTCCAGTTTAAGTTACAGGTAGTGGTCCCAGTCCTGCGATCCTTACTCACCGAGTAGTCCCTTTGAAATGGAGACGACTGCTCACGTGAGTAAGGGATGCAGGATCGGGCCTGTCTACCCCAGAGGCTGAATCCTGACCCGGAGAGGACATCCCGGCCCCTGAGCAAGGGAGACACTCCCGCCCAGGCCAGCGGGAGCCAACCCAAAGGAACCCAAAGGCATCACCGGGGAAGACAATC